TAATCGCGGTTACATCATATAGAATAATACAAATATATCACAATATATTGACATTATAATTATGTATACTTGACCACTTGACATAAGACTCAGATGTCTGTCTATATAAAAACGCTGATTTTACTTGCTATTACCTTCCCTACCATTTGCCCCCACAACCTTGACAACAGACCATACCATATATCCGATCATCGGACCACTTTGTGTTGCCCTGGGAAGGCGGTCATGAACAGGCCTTGGAATGTCGTGTGCCATTCGCACTACTTTTAGAGCTGAGTGTATCCTTAGATGGAATTTCCGAGGTGGATTTCTGGACCGCTGATTGGCCCATCGAAACCAGACGTTGGTTTTGGCCCGTTCCCAATCAAAAACCCGTGAGCAGTTCTTACCATAGTGAGCAGTGTACCGATTATCCGAACTGCGTGGACCAACTGATCGCGGTGAGCAATAATGCAATGGAAACTACTCCATCCAGTGATGTGCTGTATCGTTTGCTGGTTAGCATATGGGCTTTCCACACGTTGACAGAACGGTTGGTGGACAACGGAGTCCCATATCACGTATCGCGACCGCCTACACTCAAACGTATTTGTCGCTTCCGAATTCGTCAAATTGTGAACAGGCGTTTTTGTGAGTAATTTAAGTACTATCTTGTCGTGACAACAGATCGGAGTTTCTGCGAAAATATTTTTTTAACAATTTCCCACAACTGACTGATTTACCGAATCATATCCTTGCGTGAATGTGTGAGCCATACTGTTCTTTGCCATTCATCACCTCCCACCATATTTTCTCCCAGGTGATGTACCGGTGAATGAAGCGGGAAAGACAGACTCCGCGATGGATGTTCAAAATTATTCAAGCATGGTTGAAGTCCTTCCGATACCACCTGAGTTGAAAAGTTACCTGATGTATTCTGACCTGTGGCCTACGACAATCGATATTAAGAAGTGAGTTTACTGTGAAAAGTCACATACCTGTAGATGCATGTACTCACATGGGTGGATCACACTTAGAATTTCTCTCGAGAGAAAACCTGATAGTATCATATTATATCGCTTACATCAACAGGAGAATGACAAAACTCTGATCATTTACAACCCAGCTTCAATTCAGCGGCATGAAAATATGGATATTTCACATAAAACGCATCTTGCTCTAGAGGAATTCCTTGATACGAGTTTGTAGTGGCGTACTTGACAGTCAAAACCACCAAAGCGTTCTTGGAATTCCGTAGAAACCCTGGCGTCATGTGAACTATCAGACGTTACGTGGCGTGCTCCAAAAGAGTTATTTATTACGCTTCATCAGACGGAAGATCTTGACATTGCAAATAGACAAACTTCTTCGGATATTTGAAGTTTTCTTATATTGCTTTATACTGTTAGTAGCGTGAGCACAAAGATGCATGTTCCGCTTAGAAAATGATATAATTTACCATTGAAAACGCTGCAGTATCAGCCTACGATCAACCGTCTGTGTTTGAGATAGTGGTGTATCATTCGCCAAATGAACCGCACAAGTTGCTCATTATACCAAACCGCTGGTGAAATGAGCTATTTTTCTGATGAAATCCAGAAAATGAATAGCACATCAAAACATCAGTAATAAGAATGGATGGTATGCAATGAAAATGGCCAGGTGTTAGGATATTGGACGGACAAAGACCTTCAGAACTAGGTCAGCCGCTTAACGGTACACGTGAGTGAATTTTTGTGAGATTCTTCACGAAAACCTCTTAGTAAGGATGCACCAAAGCGTGTTTGCGTAACACACAAACACAGAAGTGTCTTGATCAGTTTCCAGTGTGGTAGTTCGGCGCTTGCATCATACCATATTTCTCCTACCTGCACAATGCAGTTATCCCATGGTATTCTAATTCCACATGATCCCTGTCCGATCGAACAGAGTCGTTTTGGGCAAGATCAAAAATGGACAAAATGATAATTATGTCTATACAGAACAAAACATCTAATCTGCAACAGCCGGTTATTAGTTTCAGGAAAGGCTCTTCATTCTTGGGTCTAGCGGCACGACACTCTCTTTGTCTCTTCTGTAGTTACAATAATTACTTCCTGTTTCTGATCCATAATAACGCGAGAACCCTTCAATCGCCTTTTCACGAACTTATGGAATATGCGACTCATAAATGTCAGTAGTATATCTCACCGGTAATGTTTACATTATGTCACATGCCATCTTGGTAAGGATAGTGAGTCGTTCGAGTGATTTGAATCATCTACACCTGTTCTTATATGGGTTTCTGACAAAGGAACATCCAGATGCGCAGTTCGCAGCATCGGTGCTCTTTCCTGATAGAGAAAGTAACCTATAACAATGATAACAATAGAAATAATAATCTGTGACTCTGAAGTTCAGCCAATATGTCTGATGGTCATTAGCGATTGCGGAAACAGTTAAGTTATTGAATATTCTCTGTTTGTTCTGTCAAGCAGTGTTGCAGCTTCAGGCTGAAAAGTAGTTCAAAGTGATTACATATTTTCTTACACAACGATTGGCAATCCAATGGACAGCTAAAGGAGAACTAGCTGAATGAAATTTCATCGACCTGATTGGTCTCTAACGAGAAATGAATCGTGTTTTTCCAGTAAAAATTTCTTTATAATTTGTGGAAAATACTACTTTCCACAATGTGCCTGGTGGATTCGAAGTAAATCTGCATCGCCTTTTGTGAAGCCCCTTGAGGATACCAGAAATCGAAGTAGTATCAAATGGTAATCTCGAATGAAGGTTAATTGAACAACTAGTTATCTTCTTTTATCTCTCTATAAGTATATCAAAACACTACTAACAAGAATTATCCTACAGAGTTGAGGTATTGGAAAATTGTGTCGCCAATGGGGTGTGTCCGAGGGACCATCATTTGGACCGAGGAGCCATTTCATTATTCATTATTCGAGCATAATTATCGAAGGTTCATTTGGATTGTTATATATGAAACTGATGCGACACAATAAAATCGATGGCACAGTAAAATTTAGATTGAGTGCAATTCTGTATGATCGTCTGATGGGAAAGTCTGAGCGAGCTGTCACTCCTGAACAAAGTTGCTAACGGTAAAATTTGCTCTGACACATCGTGCCGCTGTTGAGCATGACCACAAAGACGATTTTCCAAGATACCAGCGTATCATCTCCATGTCGTAAGTTTCATGCGTATAACGGGATAAGCCGCTCTCGTAAAGGAATGGGACA